TCGTGCACACTACTCACTGAGTCATGCTCATTTGCACCAACACATCCCAATACAACCTTCAAAGATGTGAGATACTGGAAATATCTGTCTGTGCTGGCCAGGAAGTAGCCTTTACTCCTGTGTGATTATTGAACTTTGACTATGTCTACCAAAGAAGTACATTTGTAAGTTGATTCAATTTTAACTAATTCAAAGTCAGGCAGACATGTTGGATATAGAGGCACTGGATTCTCAAGTCAGGGACTTAGAGTATAGGAAATTTAGGATTCATTTCCAGTACAGTGAGTTTAGAGATGGCCTCTATAAAGAGCATGTGGGAGAACATTCTTGAAATAAAGGATTAATTTGTCCGAGGATTTTTTTTCCTGTCCTAAATTTTCTTAAACTAGATCATGCCTGCAATTTGCTTCTGAGTCTTCACCCCGACTTCTGAATAAAATGTAGATCTTGCCTCATATTAAGAATCCCTAAAACAACTCTAGGGAAAAGGGACAGAAGACAAAGTCAAGTTAGACTCAGGCTTCTTGAATCAGAAATTGATCTCTAGAAGAGAAACCTTCGAAGGCAGTAGGGGAGGGAGGTAGTAAGGAGAGAAATAGATCAGATTGACAAAGGATCAACTTATCCAAGAAAATCGCATATACTGGGGTGGGGGCAGTTGTGCTGTTAAGCAGCTTGGCATGAAGAGACAGATCTTTACGAAGCCATCAGAGTTAGAAGCTGCAAAGGCCTGGTTTTCATTATTACCCAATGGTTCTCTGCCCCTGGATGGGGGGGGGGAAGAATTGATATATTAAAGTACTGTCAGGAGATAATCCTTTTCTGTGCATCCTGGAATGCTTCTCGAGCAGGGATTTCTCAGACAAATTGCCCAGAAGCCTCTCAATGATCCCTTTTTTACACTAACCCTGGCTTCTACATGCAATTTGGCCCCAGCAGGTTTTTTGCCTTTTCTTGTCATTGTCTCAGGGATCAGCACACTGCAACTTGCCTCACTCTCAGATTTTTTGAAATGCAGCCTTTGACAGAGACAAGGTAACTATAGTAAAAATAAGTTAGTGGTGTTAAGTCTTGCTCAATAAGAAGTACACTATTCTTTGCCACAAAAGGAAATTCTTTTTAGAAAATGAAATTACCAATAATTGATTTATTATATCCTAAATACCAATCACATAAAAAAGTGTGACCCCTTAGGCCTATAAGGTGGCTCAGCTAGTAAAAGTGCTTACTGGTGACATGGAGACCTTAGTTCTAATCTCCCTACCCACATAAATTTGGAAGGAGAAAACAAACTTCAGGAGATTGCCCTCTGTTCACTGTATACATTCTTGGGAATGTATGTTTCCACTTACAAAATATGCACAAGTGTACAGGTGCACATACTAATAATGATAATTACAAAAATGGCGATGGTGGTAATTTTAATATATTAATCACTTTAACTTTTATAGAAGATCATTGCTAACTTTACCCAGGGAAACTGGAAGGTAATGAAGGGAAAGACACCAGCATAAGATTACATAGGTAGAAAATGACAGAGAAGTTATGTGTTGGCATTCCTGTAAGTTGACTTTGCCTTCAGTGGAGGCTGCACCTTTACAGCTGAACAAACTTTAGCACAACTCCAAAGAATGGTGAATAAAGCGATGAAGGAGCCTTTATACACTAGACCCTTAATTCCAAGGTTATTTTAAATAGGTATTCCTTTTTGTCACCACCTCAAATATTGGAAGACAAAGTCACAAATACACAATAAAATCCAGATTTTTCTTTAACTCCACAGTGGCACTGGTTGTAGTTATTGCTGAACCTTCTTTAGAAAACAGGAGACAATTGTATTGTTCTTGCCTGATAATAGTGCCTATGCACTCAATGCAATTTACAGAGGCAATTTGTAATCAGCTAGCAATATTGAACACTCCTTGTTCCAGGCACTAAGAGACTTCACATGTATCGCACAGTCTCCCTTAAAGACAGTGATAGCCTGAGCTTGCTGTCACTTAGAGGAGTTAAATAGTGTCCTTATATCACACAGAAAATAAATGGCCTACCTTGAAACTAATGATGGTTTGTTTTTCTGGTTTTTTTTTTTTTTTTTTTTTTTCCTGATTCTAAAGGCTGGCATTTAGAATTCTATCATTGTGTTTTAATATATTTGTTCATATAAAACTCAGTGTGTCCTTCTGAAGAGAATGCGGGTTGGAGATAATGGACATTATGGATTCAGTCTGTGTGTTTGATCATGTTGGCCGTGCAGTCTGCTTAGCCAGACCCACACAGTTTGAGGTGTAGACCACACATTCAGCAGACATCCCAGGTGTGGAATCCCTCCTTAGGATCTGCTGCAAACCAGGACTCTTGTCTCATGCTTTTCTCACTTGATGTCCACTATAGGTCACAGAGACGCGCACTGGGCCTCTGGGCTGTAACAGCTACGACAATCTGGACTCTGTGAGTTCCGTCCTTCTACAAAGCACGGAAAGCAAACTGCACCTTCAAGGTAGGAAACTGGTAGAAAAGGGACAGCACTAGAAAAGGGCAGGTGATATTAGTTCCAAAGATCACCAGGAAAATAAGGCACATAGAAAAGAGGGAAGGGGAGGAAGGAAAGGAAAAAAAAAAAAGTGAAATATGGAAATCAGACAGCTGTGATGTGATACAGAACATTTTACCATATACAGAGTTTTAAGCTCATGGTTATTAATTAGTTTTCAGGTAAAATATATGAGGGTGTGAGCTCTGTCTGATTGTTTTGATAAAAAAAAGTCTAAACAGTATTATTTATAGATGGTTGATGCCCAAGCCTACTATATATTAAAGTTTCATTTCTTATCATCAATATTTCTTCCTTATTATTTGATTTCAAATGTAGTTTGGGAGGAGATGTTTAAACCTCAAAAAAAAAAAGAAGAAGAATATTTAATAGAATGTGTCATTCACTGTAATTTCTTCCTTTATTGCATCATCATCTGTAGTTTTAAATTAACACATACATGTACTCTTTTTTGCAGAGTTAATAGTCAACAATGTTTAATACTGGCTATATGTAGAAAGATATATTCAAGTATGACCTTTAATACCATAATCATTATGAGGATTAATACTTTGATTTTTAAAAAATGTTTCTGTTCATTCAGCTTATGTCAAATTTAGAAGAGTAACTTTAACTTTTTAATTCATACCCTAGAGAGGAAAGAAGATTTTAGATAGATATATGAGGAGTATAGCATAGTTAATGTTGGTCTAACATATATATATAATTCTTTTATGCTTTGAGCTTATAATAAAACTACATTACACCTTCTCTTTTCTTTCTCTGTATATTTTAAAATTTAAATAACCATATCAATTTTCCACATGTAAAGTTTAAGTGAATTATGTCACATCTGAAAAATGTACTCTTAGTCCAGTAGTGCAATGTTATTTATAATTTTCTAGAATAAGAAAAAATGATTTAGCATTAATTAACAATTGCAACATTTCTTATTCAATCTGGCCAATCTTAACAATATAAAAGAAGAAAATTAGTCCTGTAAGAAAATGCTGAAATGTCAAAAGAAGTTACTGTGGGAGAGTGAAGTTACATACAATTTTAAGTTTCTAGTTGCTTTTTCAACTTTCCTTAAGTGATCAAATATTAATTTTACAGTCAGAAAATATGGTATGATTTCTCTTTGTGAAGGCAAAACTCTGATCTTCCCAAAAAGTATGTGATCACGATAGTTTTGAATGTCAATGAAGAGCAATTGGGTTGAAACTGGCAGCCACAGAGCTTAGCAGAGCCTAAAAAGACTTCTTTCTATGTTCTGGTTTCTTGACAATTCTGTTACTCACATACTTGCTGTAGACAATAAATGGGAAATAGTGTAAGTGTAAGCAGGTTATAATAGTGTCACTGGGAATCCTCAGTGAATATATCCTAGAGAACTCGTGTCAGTATGATTGTTTAATGTTTAAACACACACACACACACACCATCTTAGATACTTAAAATAATTAATGTCTTTAGTAGAGAAAATAGTAGGTATGATGACTTGATAAAAGAAAATGACCAAAAAGCATAGCTTTTGGATGGATGTACTAGAATTTTCAGCATCTTAGTTCATGTGATACCTACAGCACATCTTTGGAATGATACTCAAGATTTTAATCTAGGTGATTGGATGACAGTGAGTGTTTTATCAATTGTTGAACATGCTGAGGGCACACAAACCTATACCTACAATTGTAATAAACTTAGTAAAACAAATCATATGTTACTACTAAGGAAAAGTTTGACGTTTGCATGATGATTAGAGTCTAATTTACTGTGAATTCAGTAAAGCTTAAGGTTCAGTAATATTTTTTCATCTGTGCCCTCACATTTTCTTTTTCAAATTATGTATGGAGCTTCATTTTAAGTTTTAAATTGCTTCCCTCTCAACATACTTCTCTATAAGATCCTGCAATATAAAACCTAGGACTTCCATGGATGTCATTACTGTGTCTTCACACAGGAATAACTTGGCAGACCTGTTCTCCTCTAGATTGGTCATAGTTGTGCTAAAGGATGGGTCCATATGCAAATATTTGACATTAAAAATTATGTTGGGAAACTGGAATGTCTAGAGAAAGGTCTCCAGGAATAAGAACAAAGGTTTACTTGAGGCCCAAAGGATCTGTCTGCAGAAACTTGAAGAAGTGACTTTTAGAAAAAGGTTATCTTCTTTAATGTGGACAAAATAAGCTAGGCTTCATAGTAGGAGAGAAATAAGAGTATTCTGGATTTACTTCATTGTATGAACCTTTTTTCTTTTTCTGATCCTTAAGAAACAGAACTAAAACTTCAGGCCAATGATATACATGTTAATTGTTGAACAAGACACTCAGTCCCCAAATTGAATGCTTGAGGCACATTCCTGTCCAAACAGAATGTGCCACTTGCTGATAACAGTAGTTTCCTGTTAGTGAAGTGTTACAAGAAGTTACATAGTGTAAATTCTGTAATTTTATAGAGGTTAAGCATTACTTAGTTGATGGTTTTTGTTGTTGTTGTCTGTCGGTTTGTTTTTTAGAGAAGAAAGTGTTTGTTTTACCTTACAGTACCCAGGTCACAATCCCCAAGGGAATTCAGGGAAGGAACTGGAGGCAAGAACTAAAAGAGAGCCCATGTTCTTGTTCTTCTTCAGCTACCTTTCATATAGAGCACTGCAGGCTTACCTGCCTAGGGATGGTACACATACAGTGGTCTGGTCAAGGAAATACCATATATATATATATATATATATACATATATATATATATATATATATATATTTATGTCTATAGGCCAATATGATATAATTCTTAAATAAAAGTTCTTCTGCCCAGTTTGTCAAGTTGACAGTGAAGGTAGCCTCAGACATGCACAAGTAAATATTAAAGTGCAAATAAAGAGTATTTGTTTTAATAAAATTAAAAATCCATGTTTTTGCCTTATATTTTCTTTATTTTTGAAAATATGGAAACTTAAGCATGTTGGGCATGGTCTTTTTTTCTTGTCAGGCTTTTGTTCTGATATTTTAATTTGTTAAAAATATTTTTCATTTTATATACCAATCCCAGTTCCCACTCCCTCTTCTTCTTTCCCACATCCTCCCTGACTTCACCCTTCCCACCACTCCTCAGACCAGATAAGAACTTCCTTGTGGAGTCAATAAAGTCTGGCATATCTAGTTGAGGCAGGACCAAGCCCCTCCTACCCTGTATGAATGCTGAGTAAGGTAACCAACCATAAGGGGTGGCCTCCACAAAAATGTTCATGCCCCTAGGCTAGGTCCTGGTGCCATTGCTAGCTTACTTCCTCCCACCCACCACCAAGTGTCATAACTGTCACCCACATTCAGAAGATCTAGTTCGGTTCCTATGCAGGTACCCCAGCTGACAGTTCTTAGTCTATGACTTCTGTTGATCTTGGGTCGGCTGTCTCTGTGGTATTCCCCATCATGCTCTTGTCCTCACCCCACCTTGTTCATATTATCACTCCTCCCCCTCTTCAACTGATCTCCAGGAGCTCAACCCAGTGCTTGGCTGTGAGTCACTGTATATTTTCTAATATTTACTGGATATAAGTTCTGTGATGACAGTTAGGGTAGTCACTTATCTGGTTAAAGTTGAACAACCTTTCCTAAAGCCTCTCCACTATTGCTAGGTGGTCTTAGCAAGGGTTATCCATGTAGATTCCTAAGAATTTGTCTAGTACCAGGTTTCCTTCTAACTCCACAATGGCTCTCTATATCAAGTCACCTCTTTCATTGCTTTCTGCCTTTAGTCCCTCCCTCTATTCAGTCTTCTTGATCTCCCAAGTTCCCATTCCCCATCTCCTTCCTTCTATCTGCCTCCCAGTATACCCAGGAGATTTTTAACTATTTTCCCTTCCTGGTGTCTTCCATGTGGGTCCCTCTTTTTACCTAGCTTCTCTGGAGTTGTGAATTATAGCCTTTGCTTTACATCTAATATCCACTTAGGAGTGAATGTATACCATGTGTGTTTGTCTTTCTGAGTCTGTGTTACCTCACTCAGGATGTGCTGTTCCATGTATTTGCCTGCAAATTTCATTATATCATTGTTTTTACCACTGAGTAATATTCTTCTGAATAAACAGCACATTTTCTTCATCCATTCTTTGGTTAATGGGCATCGAGGCTGCTTACAGGTTCTCACTATTATAAATAATGCTGTGATGATCGTAATTGAGCAAATGACCTTGTGTTGAGTGTACATCCTTTGGGTATGTGACTGGGCAAGTTTTCTACCATTGTTTTATATCCCCCAGAATCTGTAACTTCACAAGGGTGTGTTCATGTCGGAATGTACACATATACTTGGAAGCTAGAGGACAGCTTCCAGTGTTGTTCAACTTTCCTTAAAAACAAAACAAAAACAACAAAAATACCACTTTTTAAAAAATTTTATATACAAATCCCAATCCCAATTTTTCCTCCCTCTCCTCCTTCACCTCCCATGTTCCCTCACACCATCCCCTATCCACTCCTCAGAAAGGGTGAGGTCTTCCATGGGGAGACAATGAAGCCTGTCACTTCACATTGAGGCAGGACCAAGGTCCTCCCCAACCCCCACCCCACCCCTGTATCTAGGCTGGGCAACATATCCCTCCATAATGAATGGGCTCCAAAAAGCCATTTCATGTACTAGAGATCAATCCTGGTCCAATTGCCAGTGGCCTCATAAACTGCCTAAGCCAAACAACTGTCATCCACATTCAGGAGGCCTAGTTCATTCCTATGCAGATTTCCCAGCTGTCAGTCCAGAGTCAGTGAGCTCCCACTTGCATGGGTCAGCTATTTCTGTGGCTTTCCCCATCACAGTCTTGATTCATTTGCTCATATTGTCTCTCTACCCTCTCTTGTGCTGGACTCTGGGAGATTGGCCCAGTGTTAAGCTGCAGATATCTGTATTTGCTTCCATCAGTTACTAGATGAAGTTTATATGATGACAATGAAGTTAATCATTAATCTGACT